TGTGGCTTGCAGAGTTTATGCTGAAGAATCAGCTAATAGCCTTATGGGGTTTCTTCATATGTAACAAGTTGTTCTCTAGCTGCCTTTAAGATTTTCTTTTTCTTTTAATTTTGACATTTTAATTATAATGTGGAGCTCTTTGGGTTCATCTATTTTGAAACTCTCTGTGCTTCCTGGACCTGGATGTCTATTTCCTTCCTTAGGTTGATTAAGTTGTCAGCCATTATTTCTTCAAATAAGTTTTCTGTCTCTTTCTCTTTCTCTTCTCCTTTTGGGACCTTATAATGTGAATGTTACTCCACTTGATGTTGTTCCATAGGTCCCATAAGCTATCTTTATTTTTTAAAATTCTTTTGGTTTTTGTTGTTATTGTTGTTGCTGTTCTTTTTGGATAATTCCCATTGCCCTGTCTTCCAGGTTGCTGATCTGTTCTTCTGCTTCATCCAAACTGTGGTTGAAATTCTTTAGTGTATTTTTTTCAGGTCAGTTATTGTATTCTTCAGTTCCATGACTTCTGTTTGATACTTTCTTATATTTTCTGTCTCTTTGTTTGACATTTTCACTGTGTTCGTCCATTCTTCTCCCAATTCAGTGAGCATCTTTATGATTTATTGAACGCTTTATCAGGTAAATTACTTATCTCCATTTCAACAAGGATTTTTTTTTTCTTTTCTTTCTATTTTTATGTTGTTCTTTTTATTTGGAATGTATTCTTGTTTTATCATTTTGTTTTTCTCTATATTTTTGTTTCTGTGTATTAAGTGGAACAGCTATCTCTCCAATTCTAGAAGGAGTGGCCTTGTGTAGGCGATGAAACTTTTTGTTCAACCTTGCCCTAGTTCTTGGTTGAATCTTGAACTTTGTGCTTACCTATATAGTCTGATTTATTCTTAATAGGGGAGAGCACAAGGGTAGAATGAGCAACTTGCTGCAGTGGGGCCCAGGGAGATACAACATGTGGGCAGGGTGAGCCTGCTGGCTTCAGAGAGGCTATGGGGGAGGACAGAGAGGGCCCAGGACAGGAGTGAGCTCCCTGGCAATAGTAGGGCCACCAGAGCTTGTGGGTAGGGCAAGCCAGGCAGCTGCAGCAGGGCTATGGGAGAGCATCTGCAGCAGGGCCATGTGGGGCAATCCCTACAATACTAGCAAGGTTGAATGAGAATGCAAAAATGGTGCTTGCCAGCATCTTCTCCCCTCAAGAAAATCCTACCAGACCCCTGTGTCTCCAGCGCATGCTAATGAATGTCCATTGCATATAGAAAGGTGCTTTCCAAACTACGTTTTTTTTTTTTTTTTTTGGAGATTCCTGGGGTAAGTCTGTAAGACCTTTAAAAGCAGCCTTTCCATTTATCACAGCCTTTTGGATGTCCAGGGTATAAGCCCTTTTGCTTTGCAGAGTCAGATATTTTGGGTGTTCATCTCTCCAGTGTAAATCCCAAGGGTTGGGGTGCCTGATATGGGGCGTAAGCCCCTCACTCCTCAGGGAGAAACTCTAAATTTGTGAGGTCCCCCTAAACAGTGATTTGACATGCTGAGGGTAGGGATTTTAGCAAGATTATGTCTCTGCCTCTCTTACTGTCTCGATGTAGCCCTTTTATCTTTTGTTGTGGAGAAGCTCTTAAGCTAGTTTTCTGGTATTTTTCAAGGGGAATTGATCTTTGTGTAGCTGATGTTTTGGTGTGTCCATGGGAGGAGTTGAGTTCAGGATCTTCCTACAACATCATCTTGAACCACCCTTTCATTTACTCAATATTTACTGTGCATTCTATGATAGAGGACTTTCTCTTTTCTTCCATTCCTCTTACAATGCTCATATTTTACTTCCTTGAACATATAGAATATATTCTAATATTTATTTTAACACTCTTTTCTCCTAATTCTATCATCAGTGTCATTTCTGTATCTTTTTAATTGATTGAATCTTCTCCTTATTTTGTGTCATATTTTACCACTTATATATTATCCTGGTTATTTTTGATTGAGTGCCAGGTATTAATGATTTTATGTTTTGGAATACTGGATATTCTTGTATTCCCTTACTCTATTTTTAGATATAGTAAGTAACTTCAGAAAAGTTTGATCATCTAATGATTGCTTTTAGGCTTTTTTAGTGGATCCAGAGCAACCTTCAGCCTCAGGTTAACGTAGTTCCATTACTGAAGCAATATTCTTCTGAAGAGGTGACTAAATGTCCTGCATTCTAAGAAGTCTTTATACTCTGGATGGTTGAGATGCAAATTATTCCTGGTTCTGGGATTGTTGTGCTTTATCTTTTCCAATGGTTCTTTCCCTATGCTGGGAAAGCCTTACTGGCATGCAGTCACTAAATCAGTCCTTAGTTAAAGGTTGGTTGGGAATGCACTGCAGATCTCTACCCTCTTTCTTGTGCAGCTGTCTTTTCTTATATTCTCTGATCCATAAATTCTAGTTACTTTAACCTCCTCCAACTGAGAACTCTGCCTGGCTGAGTTTGGGTCCTCCCTCTATGGAGCTACAGCTTGGAAAGTCTCTTCAAGTAACTATGATGATCTTCAGAGGTCACAGTCATGAGCTACTTGTTGATTAGTTTGAAACAGTTTGAAAACTGTTATTTAATCTGTGTCCATTGTTGGTTGCCGTTTGTAGTGGGAGGGTAGATATGGTCCCTTTTACTCCATTATAGTTAAAAGTGGAATTATCCTCCCTTCTTTATCATTTCCACTAATTCCCTGATTCTAATCCTTACTTTCTTATGCTTAGAAAAGGGGTAGTTAGAGAGTAAGTATAGGCTTACAGAATTCCATCAGAATTCTTTGGGAGTCTTTTTCAGACATGGCATTCCTCAGAAGTGGACTGTGTATAAAAACGAGTATATTCTATATCACAAGTTTATTAGGAGAGAGGTTTTAAAGAACTATTACTTTGGTTATATGCCTTGCTGATATTTTTAAATTGAGCTCTTGAAGGGAACATAGTCTTTACATATTGATTTCCTCTAAATCTCTTCAAGATCTACCCATCCACTTCAGAGCCCAAATCATAAATATTTTTTCCCATGAAAATTTCCAGAGTATTTTACCCATGTTCTTTTTCCTTCTCTCCTACTATGGTAGATCCTTCTTTGGACCTACCCAACACACAAAATCTTATGAATAAATTCATTAATGGAATCTACCTTATCCTTTGTTACTGCTGTTACTTCCATTCATATTATGAATTCTTCAGGATAGGTAGCCATGTCTCACTCATTTGCTGTACTTCACATATTTAGCACAATATTCCAAATGAGGTAGGGAAATAACTCTCTTTATTAGAAAGAACACTAGAATTTAGTTAATCTGCTGCTTATATTACTGTGTAAATCTAGGTTTCTTCATCTGTGATTTCAGGGGTGAGAAAATCATACTTGCAATTTTAGTTCTGTAATCTGTGAATGAGGGTAGGAAGGAAAATAGACATATGAGCTAATTGTGAGTGTTGAACCAGGTAGAATACATAAGGAAAGAGTTTTATAAATTATAAATTGCTTAAACTTCTAGGGTAATATTGTTGTTGTTGTTCTACAAATTAATACTTTCTATTGACTAGGTTAAGAAATATATTGTATCACTAATTGCTGTGAAAGTTCTATCTGTACATTATATTCTAGACAAAATTGCTGAAACATCATTTTTAGTTGTTATGTTTTAGATTAATAAAAATATGAAAGGAAAATAAAAAATACAAAGCTATATATATATATATATATATATACAGTATTAGTATTTTACAAACTGCTTTTGCACCCCACTCTTATGTAATTTTTGCACATTTCATGATATCTTTAGAGATGTCAATAGAAACTGGAAAAACAGATGTTAATGAGTCATAGAAGGATAAGTATTATATTAGGATATGTGCCAATGCTTTCTGGAAAGTGAAACCAGAATTCACTGGAAAGATCATTTAGTGTACTGAAGAAATGTTCTCTTTCGTTCTAGGAAATATTTGTTATAATCCTTTCAGAGATTTTTTTTTTTTTTAATTTAAACTTGTATGGGCAAATAGATATCCCATCCCCTAAGGACAGATCCTAAAGGTTTTACATTAGTGGGCCTTACAATCAATTCAATACTTCAAAATACCATTATAAGAAAAATATAGAAGGAAAGCTAAAGGAGAAAGAAAAAGAGAAAGAGCAAGAGGAAATGAGGGGAATAAACAAGAATGGAAGGGAACATACAGTATAAGAAGATTTCACACATATTAAGGGGAATTGTAGAAATTATTTAAGTATATTTAAGGCATTTCTTACTGTAAGTTATTATAGAAAAAGTTTGAAAGACATCATTTTTATAAATAAAAAAACTAGAACTGGAGGAGAGTGAAGACTATTTCAACTCAGAAAGAACTTAGAAAATATTGCAAATTATTTATCTCTAAGAGGGAACATATCTAAGAAAAGTAGTTTCTTCTCATTAATGAATTAAATCATCATATTCAGCATTATTTCTCTACCTGCATTTGCACATAATTGTTTCATGTTACCCTCCTATTGGTAGTATTTATTTGGAATATAAATTGGTAACATGTTTAAATTACATTTACTTTGAAACTTCTTTAAAGGATGTTTCCATTGAAATTCTCTTAAATGCATCCTAGGGACTTAGTAAATAACTATGTGTTGACTCACCAACATAAAAAGTATATATGGAATTAAAATCAGCAAAACAAAATTTTTTTTGCTAATAATCACAGTAAAAATTGAACCAATGTACTTTTCTTTGCCTAAGATCTGTGTTAAGATTTCAACAGCTCACATGTTATTCTTGTCTCTAAATTCAAGCAATTTTCAAGTATAATTTTAATATCTAATAATTGAGTTATACTGGGCTACTAAAAGTATACTTGTGATTAGAATATAGCTTTGTGTATCTAAAGCCATGTAATGATTGACAACTACTGATCAAAAAATTGAGCACAATCTCCTCCTGAGTTATGAAGTCAGATTTATGAAGATCAACCTCTGTTTTCTTCTTTAGGAATGGCAAGTTCATTGAAGAAAATGAAAAGTACATATTGAAAGGAAGCAATACAGAACTCACTGTCAGGAACATAATAAATAGTGATGGGGGTCCTTATATCTGCAGGGCCACAAATAAAGCAGGAGAAGATGAAAAGCAGGCATTTCTCCAGGTCTTTGGTAAGTATTATAGCATAGTGGTTAAAATTATGATGTCTAGAGGGAGGTCTGAGTCAAATTCTACTCTGTCACTTATATGTCACTAACTTTCTAAAATTAAATCTGTTTTCACATCTGAAATATATTTTAGCGTTGCAGCTACCAGATAGAATTATTTTAAGAATTACATGAAATGATACATGTATATTCTTACAAAATATTGGCTGACTGATAACAGAAGATGGAAGAAAATTCCTTTAAATTACACATACTGGGAATCTGTTATAACTTACAGATAATTTATATTTACATATATGTATGGGTTGGTCTTCATAACTCTTTGACACATGTTGAGATTAGTTTTACTTTTAATATACTTCAAAACAACACATCTATAAAGCTATAATTAGGAAATTTTGACCTGTAACTATAAGAAAATACTCCCTTTCCATTCTATTAAAAGGAAATATAATATTAATATCTTCCATATTTACCAAGAGCCATATTGCCTTCTTTGGGGAACTTACAGAAAGTGAAGAACTAGTAAGGTGTTTTAGTTTTTTTTTTTTTAAATTGATTTAGCTTCCATTATGTTTGTAAGAAGAAAAGCAATTTTACTGGTGTATTTGGAATATATCATTGTCTTTAAAAAGCATAACTTGAAATTGTATGCACTGATAGCATTTAATAAACAGTTCTCAAAATGCTTTCACAACAAAGAGGGGAGGTGGGAAGAAAGGAAGATAATTCTGTGAGAATAAGAAGGACCACGATTCATGTAGAGGAAAGAGTAAATAAACTTAAAACTGTTAGAAATTATAGAAACCCTTAACTCATTCTAGCAGTATTCCCCACGTAACGAGATTGTTCTCTTTAGAACCTACACTAAATAAGTGTGACTCAGTATAAAAATAAATAAATTAAATAAAAATGATAGTTTCTGAGATAATCCCAAAGGGTAGATATTCTCAATTTACATCAGAGAGGTATAATGAAATACTATACAGTCATTTGTTGTTGTTGCCTTTTTTTAATTAGGTTGGTAATGAGTGAAAACAAAGAGATAAAGATTCTAACATTTTTATCTTTTCAAATGGAAAATACTTCATGATATGGTACCTCACTGCTGTAATCACTTTTTTATAGTAACACTAAACAAATTTACATTTTGTTAGAAACAAAATCAAATATATATAGTAGAAATCCAACTAAATCTATTAAAGTCAATGGAGTAAACACTGAGTTGTTAAAAATTATACATGCCATATTTCCAATATTAGGAACCTAGTTTTCTAAGATTAAAAACAACTTATTTATATCCCATGATTAATTGCATTTAAAGATTAAATAAACTGTTACTTTTCTAAAACACCAAGTGCTGGCTTTTATCCCTTTTAAGTTCTATAATGTAAAATTAATGAAATGCAGATAGTACAGACTTTACAATCATATAGTTCTGTGGTATCATGTAATTTGTGGATGGACATAATTTTTAATATAAAGATAATTTAAATAAGTAGAAATAATGTATTTTCTCATTACTGAAGTCATAATTATAAAGAAATGATTAGCTACCCTGCCTAAAATATTGTTAAAATAAATTGAAGTAAAAATAAGTTGATTGGGATAATATAAGAAACTAACATATATATGTATATATATATATTTACTTAATGAATATTTTAAATATTGTACATAATTATACTTACTACATATTCAAGATACAATCATTTTCTTCTTGGGTGAAATTATTTTTAAAGCTTAAGAGATAATCACTAAATAAGCAGATGTCACAATTAGAAACACACACACACTCATAAACAGGTACCATGTGGCTTTAAAAGAGGAAATTTTAATTTTGTAGCTTTAAGAGAGGAAAAAATTAGTCTTTTAAATTACAACATTTCAAAAGGAATTATAATTTGTATGTTGGCTTGTAAGCCACTTCAAATTATCTCTATGATAATTGATGAGAATTATTTTCTAAAGCTTTTTCTCCTGTCCTATGTGAGTCTCTTGGCACTCCTTTAAAGCAAAGCATGCTGCTGTAACTGCTACAAAGTTAATAATTCTATACTCCACTAATGTGGACTTAAATGCCCACTATGGCTTTTAAGTCTGAATGGTAATATTTTCCTCCCATACAGATTGAGTAATGTATATATTCTTTACAGTACAGCCTCACATAATACAGCTCAAAAATGAGACTACGTATGAGGATGGTCAAGTTACACTTATATGTGAAGCAGAAGGGGAGCCTCTTCCAGAAATCACTTGGAAAAGAGCACTAGATGGCATCACATTTTCCGAAGGCGATAAGGTAATAGGAACTCAATATATAGTGATTTTCAATACCATTGTATTCTCAGAGTTTTGCATATTATTTACTCTCACACTGGACTCCAGTTTACCAAGTAATTTGTAGGAATGCAAGAAATGGCTTAAATTTTAAGAAGGTAACTCTATCACAGTCAGCCTAAAAGTAAGTGGAGGAGAAAAAAGTGAAAGTGTGATATTTAAAGATGTTCTTCATTAAGCCACAAAATCTTAGGTTGTTGGTGTTCTTAAGTTTGCTTACATGGACTTTCGGTGTACCTTGAATCTATAAATTTTGTTATTGTAATTTTAGCCCTCCCACCCCTTGCTGTGAAAATGAAAGTCATTCTAGTTCACCAGATTCTGCTGTCACCATTAACTCTTTATGCTTTAGAATTGTCTTTGTGCAGCGGTAGGTTAGGTTTTTGCTTTCATGTAATTTAGAATATAATAAAGAGAAATAAGCACAAGCACACCAAAATACAGCATTTTGGCAATTGTCATTCCTATGTAAATTGGCAACCTGTCACCAGAATTTGTTCAAATTACTAACAAATTAATAGATTTTCATTATTGTTATTTTTCATAATTATTTGTATAAAACTCCAAAGTATGGACAAAAGTGAAACAGAAAGAAAAGACAGTGAATTAGTGGTATGATGAATTGACATTTCACACATGTAAAAGAGGGTAAGATTAAGCTTACAGATCTCTTTTCTTAATGTTAAAGAAAACCCCTTTAAATCTTTCATTAATTTAAATCAAGTTCTACAAAACAGTGATTTCTGCAATATAAGTACCTTTGACTTATCAACACTGATAGCAGAAAAATTTGAAACCAATTTATCTGAAAGGCATTTTCTATCCCTCCAACTCATCACGTAGTTTTGAACAACATGCTAACTCCATAAATTGACAAAACAGCCATCTCCCTGCCTATTTACTATTTATTCTTTGCAAAAATTGTATTCACATATATGATATGTATATATGTATGTATCATATATATATGAGATGTACATTTTATTTATATATATATATATATATATATATATATATATATATATCACTTCTTTGCTTCATTTCCTCCTCATGATGACATTTTTAAGAGAGTATCTTTTTTGGTAATAGTTATACTATTTTGATATACTTATTTTATATGTACAAATTGAAATCAAATTCATAAAATATCTTCTGGCAACCAAGAGAAACCATACAAACTTTGCTTTAACGTTTTCTTAACAGAAAATCACAAATATTTTTAAGGCACAGTTGTCAAATCTGAAAGTAGTTATATTTTCATAAAATTATTTTAAATTATAAAAAAATTAGATAAAACTGTAGGTAATTGTTTTTCTGTCAATTTAGTACATTTCTTTAGACAAGATCTATCAATAATAATGATTTTCATGTCTATAAGCCCTTCATTTTCCTAACTCATGCTTTCATTATATTCTTGTCCACTGTAAAATTCCTAAAAGTTCTCATCTTTTTTTTTTTCATTAGTAGCTGTTTGTTGATCAAATGGTTTGATGTAAAGTTATTTAAATATATGGAATGCTTCACGAATTTGCATGTCATCCTTACGCAGGGGCCATGCTAATCTCCTCCGTATCATTCCGATTTTAGTCTATGTGCCGCTGAAGTGAGCCAGCCAGCACTTAAAAGTTCTCATCTTAAAGATAGTGTTTATTCTCCATTTAATAGATGTTTCCTCATGTGTATACCAACAATGATAGATACATTATATTCAGTTATTTTATCATGAAAATTTATCAAAATACCGGAAGGCTGTGATATTTTTTTCTACGCTGTAAACCCCAGACCACTCAAAGCCATATGCAGAAATTTCTTCTCTAGTTTTGAAGAATAATTAACTAGCTTTGAATAGAACTTTCTCTGTTAAAATACTCATCTTATATTTTTTATTTGATTTATTTGCTACAAAACAATCATAGAAACTCATATATGCTTTTGTTTTTCCAAATGTAACTTTTATCCAGTGGATAAAGAAATTAAGGTTATTCACTTTCTATCATGACATTTCTCCAAATTCATTTTAAGATTCATATCTTATTTTCTGCATGGTAAGCCTCCTTTCTCCTAACATTACTAGTTTTTTCAACAGTCGAAATTCAAAAACTGAATGGTTGACCTGAGCTTTGAAGAAGACATATCTAGTTTAAATCTCAGCTCTGCCATTTGACAATATATTATCTGAAGTCTTATTAATATGAGTTTCTTTGTCTTTAAAATATGAATAATAATATTTTCTTCCCTTAAAAGTATAAGAAATCTGAGGAGTATACCAAACTCTTTACATTTTGTAAATATTCAATAAACTTTTTTTTATTATATCACTCTGTCATATTACACAATTTTCAAAGCATAGTTTATCTTGTTTCTGTTATTCTGAATAAATTCTAGTTGTTATTGGCTCCATAAAGTCTGGTACCTAAGGTTTGATTAATCACTATCACAGAGTATTTTCAGATCATATCTCTCTTGTCATGGAAAGTATGAGATTGTATTTTCCACAAGAATCACTTGGAGATCCTGTTAAAATGCACTTTCCAGAATCCCACTCCCCGAGGTTGACTTAGTATGTTTAACATAGGACCTAGAAGGACATATTTAATAAACTCATAAGGTTGGTATATGAATTGACCTCAGGCCATACTCTGGAAAACAATTCCCTAAGTCACATGAAATTTAATAGCTAATCCTGTCAACAGAAAAATGCTCTTAACAGATTACTTGGCACCTGATAGGGACTTGGGAAATATGGAACAAAACAAATCAAAACTTCCCATCATGCATACACTATCAAAGTTTTGATGAAACTGCTCATTGTGTAGGTCATAACATTGAAACAACATCAATGCAATGTGGCTCATACTAATAACTTCATCAAAAAATATGACCGTGCACTTAGCAAATATGTTCATCAGTGTAGATTTTCAAAGGATGGGATCTCAATTAATAGTATCCCCTTTTCTTGCCTAAATTTTCAATCACCAGATAAGACGAAAGAAATAAATGGGGATAAAATGTCATGTGGCTTAAATCTGCAGGTCAGTTAATGTTCTTATACCATACTAGAGAATTAGATAGACCTACCCAGCACAGTCCTGAGTAGAATTAGACCTTGTAGCCCCCCAATATGGGAAACTAGATATCAGTGCTAAGGTTACCATCATGGCTGAGAGCAAGGGACAACCTGTGGTCTCTACAGGAAGGTCCTTTCTGAAAATAAAAAAGAGCAGGGGCGCCTGGGTGGCTCAGTCCTTAAGTGTCTGCCTTCAGCTCAGGTCATCATCCTGGGGTCCTGGGATCGAGCCCTGCATCGGGCTCCCTGATCAGCGGGAGGCCTGCTTCTCCCTCTCCCACTCCCCCTGCTTGTGTCCCCTCTCTTGCTGGTCTCTCTCTGTCAAATAAATAAATAAAATCTTAAAAAAAAAAAAGAAAGAAAAGAGAAAAGAGCAGCTAGGAAACGCATATTCAGTATGATGCCCCCATAGTTACCAATCAAACATCTGCCATGGTTCTGATGGGGAAGAGTAATTAAGGAGTTGGAAAGTCCAGAATTGGTATGTTCACAGAGCTCCCTTCCCATGGAATAAATGTTAGGAGTCCATGAGAAGTGTTCACTGTCCAAAAAACTTTATATTAATAACATCTTAATAAACATTGAATATACATTGTCACAATTTAACTTCTGGTATTCTTACTGCATGGTAAATGACCCCAAAACATAGTGGAACAAAACAACCATTTTCTTTTGCTCATGATTTTGTGGATCAGGAATTTGGGGAGGCTCAGTGAAGTGGACATCATGAGGCACCTCAAATTGCTCACATGTATATGTTTTATAGAACAACTGAACTATGTATATTAGTGTACCATAAAATATCCTTGCATAATATGGCATCCTACAGAAATGACAACAAAAATTATAGTGCTTAGAGTTCTTTTAAACACATGACTCTGTCATCTAACCCACTTGAATGCAGCTTATCTACATTTAAAATAGTATATGTAATTTTTACAACTTCAGAAAATTTCAAAAATATGTGTAATATATAAGAAAAAATATTCACTTGCTTTAAAAATCTTTTCTTAATACTCATTATTATTTTGGAATAACATTTTGTTCATCATTTTATTAAAGAAATTTCACAGTTTTCACTCTTTTAATTACCTATTTATTGAAAATTTCTAGGCACTTCAGTACAACTTAAGTATTGTTTATGTTTCTCTATAAAAATATTGATTTATCAGGGTTATCCAGAAATTCATTACACTGACAGCTTAAAATTAGCACATGATTTTGGAGTCATCTTAAGATACATTTGTTTATAAAAATCAGAAATGCCTAGCCTCTTCATTTAATAGATACTATACACATAAACTGAATAATATTTAAATGTATATAATAAAGTATAGGACAAAACCAAAGCTATTGTGGCAGAATATAAAACAGCCATGAATTAAAACTTATACATTGCTTTGTAACTTATAAACTAAGCAATCTAATTTTTTATATTAAAATCTCTATTTTTAACATCAAAAACTAATGATGTAATGTATGATGATTAACATAACATAATAATAAAAAAAATCTCTATTTTTAAAATAAAACCGTGCTTCTTTCACAGTTGATCTACCGATTATATAAGATGATGCTCCTACGATGTTTGACAGAGTCCCTGGCATTAATACCTGTCATCTATTTTGAACCAGTTTCTTTAGATCATTCCTTCTTATCATTCTTATTAATCAATAAATGTTAGTATATGTAAGATTATAAGTATTGATGAATTAGTATGAGAAGTCATGTAAAATATCACACAAATCAAAGTTTAATCCTAATTTTGTCATTTTGGTACGTCATTCAGGATATGACTTCTTATATCTGACCAGTTTTTGCATGTCTAAATCAGGATAATAAGATGTCCCCATAAAAAGTTTTGGAAGATGAAATGAAAGTCCACATAACAATAT